TTCCTTTCATCTTTTTCTCTTTCTCCCCTTTCTTCCTTTGTTTTTCCCTCCTTCCCTGCCTGCCTGCCGTTCTCTCATCCCTCATTTTTAGAACGAAACAGAGCATTAAAACATTAAAACTGTAATCATCTTGACTTTTTTAGAAAAAAACCCTCATCATTGATGAGTTCTGTCACAGAGATTTTGATGGAGATTTTATTGTCCTCATGTTATTTTTGCAGCAGTTCTGTAGCCCATAGACTACATTGTCCTCGTGGTCTCTGGTGGAACTGAATGCAGTGGCACACTACTACTGGCTGATGGAGGTCTCAGTGAAACAAGGAAGGATGGCTTTCCATTTTGCTCTCGGTTGCTGTAATAGTACAGCTGTAGCACATGCAGTGTTTCTGTCGTGCTCATTCTCTTCTCATCCAAAGAAAGTAAGCTCACGCAAAGTGGAAGTAAGGAACAGAGATGAGACATTAAGTGGTGAAAGGGTCAGAAATCAATATAGGGGGTGTCAATACACTGTATTGTAGTAGATAAACCTTGACCATTATAACTGTGATTTTTAGGATTGGAAATTTATGAAATGGGGCTTACTTATCTTCCAAAAATGGCACAGAGGACTCAAAAGTTGAGTTCATACTTTCTACTTACAAGCCACAAACCACATGATGTTGTGAGTTTTAGGGCAAGATTAAAGATAAAAAATCAATCAATCAATCAATCAATTTACCTGCCTGCCTACCTATTTATCTACCTATTCATATTTATATCTGAAGAAAGTAAAAAAAAAAAAAAACAACCTCTCAAAACTACACTGGTCCTGCCAAGCACTGACCTAGACCCAGGTCTGTATGAAGCAGCGCCAAAGATCTGTTTATCTTTCATCTGGCATGTCCTTGTATAATCTAATACGCTGTTAAAATCCCATATTTATTTCTGCTAAAACAGCATGCTCCAGATCCATTGCAAAACAGACCCCACTGTAAAATACCGAACTCCTTTGTTCTCTATCCTTATGTTATTACTTATTTTAAAAGGTAGAGCTATACAGTCAGAAATCACATATCCCTGCTTTACAGTTGTTTGGACATGTGGTAAATGTCCTGTGGAATTATTGTCTTTTGTTTTTATTTTTCAATATCTTGGGTGGGGGTGGGGAGGGGGGAAGGCTATTCTGATGCTATTGTCATATTTAGGTTGCCCATTTTTAGCTCTGAATTTCTTACAGACTGATTTAGGTTTATCACTTTCCCTGATACACATTTTATTCAATCTTATGCCATGTGATTTTGTATCAGGCTACGCTCCCTTTTGTATTTCCTCTTCCAAAATTCTGGTAGCCTGATTGAACTGTTTTTTTTTTTTTTGCCTGAACTTTAGAAATCTGCACAGATAGCATACAGAAGTTCAGGCAAGACTGGAGGACAGGGACAGCTATGTTGTGGCCAACTGGATGTGCTTGATCAGGCTTTGGGGAGCAGCAAACTACTGAGACTCAAGTACGCTGACTGTATGAACGCTTGCTATGTATCTAGCCACTGTAAAATGTGAACCATCAAGGGGTAGAAGATTCCCTCCCAGAATATCTCACTGACCTCCACATGGACACCTTAAATCAATCTGATTGACTTCAGAGTTATTTGTTATGTCTTTATAGTTACGGAATTCTTCCCTAAGGGATGTTCTCATCTGTCAACAGTATGCTCTCTATGAAAAAATCACAGTGCCCTGCATTATATTTTAACTGGCTACAAACGAGCATTTCCTCAGACTATATGACTAGGACTACCTTCAATCTGTTGATTAGTTTTGTCATAAAAAAAAATCTGACAGACTGGATTTACTGAAAGATTTAGATGCGTTCAACATATTAAGGGAGCTGTTGTGGTGCTACTGTGGCCAGATACATGATGTAGCAGCAGCTGCACAGTACGTGGTTTTGATTTTTGCACCACTTTTCATGTCTTCTCTATCTGTGCTTGAAACAAACACAAATTGCTTAACATAAATCTCTGTAGAATTGAGGCTTGTAGTGAAAACTAATTTCTAAACAAAAATCAGGGTTGTGATGCAACTAAGATATTTTCTTCTTTAAGAATTGGCAAACGTTAGGTCATCCAAGCAGACAATCTCTGTCTATTTGAACAAACACACAGCCCAGGATCAAAATAGTAAATACCAGTTAATTAAAACAACGGGTGCAGTGAGTAGGCTTTGAGTGATCCATATGCTGAGATGTGGCCTTACAAAATATTTCTTGGACAGATTCGTGGACAAATTTATCATGGTTACAACTGAGTGAATTTTGCCCAACAAATGGTTCCCCTGGGCTTGCCTGTTAAGTAGATAAATTTCTTATTCATGGACCTTATTCATGGAGCAGGCAAATATGCCACTTGTCTGAATTCTCTTAGTTTTCTGTGTATCCACTCCAGTTCCAAGGGTTTTAATGAGATAGGGGAGCATTTGGCCCAATATATATGTTTTTCTTTGTGTTACATAAAATTGTAAGGAAGATAGCTCTGCCAGAGGGCACAAGTCATTTTATTTTTGGTCTGAAAAGCCCAGAATTTTGTTGATCACATTTTTCCAAACAGGATGTCTGTAAAAATGGGAAACATCTTTTTATTCAGTTTTATTAGAAAAATATGGCAATTTCTGCAATTTTAAAGATTTATTTTTAGCAGGTTTCTTTTTTCAGTCCAGTATTCCAATAATAAAATAATCACTGCGTCTATGCATTATCATTTAATCTTTAAATGTTGCTCTAAAAATCTATACAGTTGATAGTGTGAGGAGGTTTAATCTCACCTTTTCTTTCAATACTCAGCATGGGACAGTTCTAGTCCACGTAAATCTCTTATCATCATAGCATGAATTTTTACTACTTTTAAGGTCACTGCTGCTTTATGAAGAATGAAAAATGTGGAGAAAGTCTTTCTTAATTTCAAAAAGCCAAAATTTCAATAACAGATATAAATATTTCATGACACTCCTTTTGAGAAGAATTCTCAGGTGAAACTTAAAGTAAAACAAAACAAACAAACAAAAAAACAAATATACGAAAAGCAAAACAAATGAACAAACAAAAAATGCAAACTTATTTTCCTTAAACACTTTTAGGAATTAAGCCCTTCTGTTTTATAGACCAGCCTTTATAACTCAGAAAGAATAACATAAGTTCAAAAAGAGAAAGGACCAGTCTGACTTCTTCATTCATAGAGCTTTGCTCAGCAATTCATACATCATTCTTGCATTTATCCATTTTTTGCAGAGTTCAACTTTGCAGAGTCATCCAAAATAGGCTTGTGGTAATATCACTTAATAGTAGACCCCGCATGGGAACTGCAGATGATATAGCAACTCGATTAAGAGCTCTTGCAAGAATCTCTTCTTTTTTAATTTACTGTTTAAAAATATCATCACCTTTTAAGTGCCTTGGAACAATATTATACAGGATCATCACCGTGGCAATGCAAAGCGCACTACTCCTTACTAGGCAATTAGAAATCAGGCAATGCTGCTCAACATTCTGTACACGAATCTGTTGTTTGAACACTCGTAAAACTATGCTGTCACTGTAATGCTGTCATGCTGTGCTGTCCTCTTCCCTTTCCTAAGGCCTTGTCCCTTTTCCCAAGACCCTGCAAACTAGTTGTGCTAAACATATGACCATAACACAGCTGCATGGCTGCAATGGGTCCATGAAAAAACAAAAGGTGGAAAAGTGTGGGTAAAGCTACCTCATATTGGATTATTTAAATCAGCCGGGAAGACTAAGCACATGAGAGCACAAAGGAAGAAAGAATAGAGGAAATGGATATGAATACAGACTCTCAGGATGATATGAAAGGGAACATAAAGTAGAGGAAAATGTGATTTAAGCTCAAAGACTTGGTTATTATAAAAAATGTATAAAATATTTATCTGACAAGAAGAAACTGAGAGCAGTAACTAGAACAAGAACAACAATCATAGAAAAATATAACTACATATATGTTCATACATATATGTATGAACAGAAGTTCAGGAACTTATTAAAGGGGCTATGTAACACAGTTCCTGCCCTAATAGAGGCCTGGAATCATTGAACTAGCCAGACCTAATTTCCTAGTGTTTGTATATTCTGCCCCAGTTAACAAATTCTTCATGCGATTCAGCTCGGCTTTTTTTATTTCATATTTTATATAATTTGCTATGGCTGCTTTCCTTCTACTCCTGTCTTTTCAAATCACTTCCTCATCATTTCTTATGTTTATTATGCTGTTTCCTCTATTCTGTTTGTACTTCACCTACTTTTCTATCATTGCTTTTCAGGTGCTTTATTTTCTTGCTCCCATTATATGAACTGGACAGTTCTTGGTTTACTGAGTAAACTTGATACTTATATATAGGTTTCTTATAAATAATATTTATAAACTCATGACTTGGACAACTATTATTCACATATGGTTTTACCATCTTTTGCTAATGCTTATTAAATACTTATACATGATATACTTAATATTTTGTTATATGCACATGCTCTTTTATAACTTTAATTTCTTACTGTAGATATAAGCTATGGAGGCTAAAGTCATGTGTTCTTAATTGATGCCATCAAATGAAACAGATTCTTTCAACCTGGTGATTTAATGCTAGAGAGCTTGGCTTAATGAAACACCTAGACTCCCAGATCCTCAAAACCATCCTCTGTCATCCAGAGGTAAATACGCTAGTCTGGTGCTGTAAATCAGTATATCTCCACCAAATTCAATGGAATTAATTTAGATTATGCCAGTTAGCCAACAAAACTCCACACACTGTGCTTTCAGTAGAACCTCAGTAACCACTCATCCTGGTTGTTCTGCATAAGCTTAAAGGTAGCTTTTTTTTAGGGAAATTCAGGCCTGCCCTTATGCAGATACACCTTCTGCATATTGGTTTGTCAGGCTATGAATGTAGGAGTGTAACTATTGATTACAAAGTTTTTTTATAGAGATGTGTCCAATGGAATCAGGCAAACAAAGTGCATAAACTCTAGTCATGTGCCTCTATTAGGAAGGGTTTGCTTGATCCTGCCAGGATTTGACTTGCTGCAATTCTCAGATGGCCAGATTTCACAGAATCACAGAATGATTGAGACTGCGGGGGACCTTTAGAGTTTATCTAGTCCAACCCCCTTGCCCCCCTTGCCTAGAGCACATGCTTATATTTTTAAAAATATATATTTTATCTAGTGCTTCAGTCCAGAGACAATTAGATGGTATGGAAAATTGTAAAATAATTATGACACTGAAAATATTATTACAGACAAATGTAAGAATTCACTGTTCTCTTTCTATACACACTTACTCTTCAAGGTTGAAGATTTTCTTATCAGTATCACATCCAAATACAGACTTGCATTTATAAACACAGATTCATTTTTAGCTTCATTTTCAAAGGGAAAAGACTTTTTCTGTGCTCCTGTCTGTGCATATCTCCCTCTCAGTAGCATTTGAATATACTAGCCAATTTCAACCAACTTTTAAAAAGAAAAGTTCCAACAAAGTTTTTTGGGAAAAAAAAGGCATTAGATAAATTAATTTTCCAATTCATTAGTTAATGATTATAATAAGGAAATGGTAAAGGTATTTCTTCTTTATACTTTGGAGGAATCCACAGAGAGTCATGATGTTCATTCCACCTTAGAAAACCAGTTTTCACATTACATTAAACAGAGTGAGCTTATAGAAGAATAAGAAATAGCTCTGAAAGGTGGTGTGCAACTGAAATTCTTCTCTAGAATCAAAGAGTGAATTAAATACTGAATGTAATTAAAGTAGAGTTAATACTGATGAACATCATGTCCTTGCCACCTGCACTTTTTGGAATCACATTTTCCCTAAATTTGAAGTCCTAAACTATCCTATAGAAAAGTCAACAAGTTCTGACATTTTGTTGACTGCAGGTATTATCCAAAGCATTAAAAGATGGAGAGCATAACATTCTGAATTGTGGAACAGAATGACATGTTCCTGCAGATAAACCAGGCATTTATCCAAGCAAAATTCTCAGAACCTTTATCTCTGAGTATAAGCTTCCA